GTCCAAGAAAAAGAAATGTCCCGATTCCTAAGTGTTTGGTAAACAATATAAGCTTTATGTGTTTGAGTTTCCTTTGAAAGAATCTGTGAAAGGAGGATAAAAACACTTTATATTTGTTGATTAAAGTAGTCTTTCATTATAATAGAGTGTCATTCACAACGATACCTATTGACCCTCCATGTAAAGATGGCAATGCCCGATTCACAACGGTACCCTTAAAACCTTTATCTGACCTTAATAATGTGGAAGATTTTTTCTAAGTGTTAAAGTTATTGATAATTCCTTTATGTTTTCTTGGAGGAAATATGCGCATGTTACTTTTGCAGAGAAGCCACAATTAAAAATAACCCGTTTTCAAAACTACAAACATTGATATCTAATTTATACTTTATCAGACAGAACTTTAAAGGGTACCGTTGTGAATCAGGCATTACCAACTTTGAATAATTGCTTTCTGTCCATTTAGTAAAATGATCTTACATAGCAGGTTGGCTGATCATCTGAGTCTGATTGATTTAAAGAATTGATTTGATGAGAAGATGAGGTTTGGTTGATAGAGAAGGACCAATCACAACCTTCCTCATCCTAAAACGTAAAATTTTTAAACAAAAATAATTAAAAATAGTCCTGAGCTGAAAACTTTAGAATGGTGGATATCAAGATTAATGCTTAAACTCCTGGTTTTACTAAACCCAAGATTATTTTAATACGCATTTGATATCCAAGAAAGAAGTTACAAATTTAACCAATCAGCGTGTCATGTTAAAATGTACTCTTTATAACTTTTGAAAAACCGGTTTTGATTTCTGGTGTTGATGGTGTTATATCAATTGAACTAAGCATCGATTGAACGAACGTAGGTTTTGGATTAATGTTTATTAAGACTAACGTTCAAAATGACAATAGTCCTAAAATATGTTTTTTAATAATTTCATATTAACATGATTAAATTTACATTTGTTTAAATGCTCTAAAAGCTGGCATGTGAAAAGCTGAATTTAATTCAATCGGATATTAGTCCAATCGATATAGCATTGTATCTGTAATTGTTATCAAACGTAACTTTTATACAGTAGAAATATCCAAAAAGATGATTCTAAGAAGAAAATCAGAAGTGTGTACATTGGATAATCAGATTAAGTGATCGTGATTAAGGATATCTCATTCTAAAGTTTTCAGTTCAGAGCTTTTTCATTATTACAAATCTAAAATTTACTTCTTTAAAAAAAGCTTTAAATTGGATAAAGTAACATTTGTCAAATGTTAATATTTGTCCAAAATAGAAATAAATTTTTTAAAACATTTTTCCGGCGTACTTGTTTTTATGGGCTGGCCATAAACAGGGCTAAACCATGAAATATCAAAATATCAAAACTGTGAGACATGTTATTGATACAGTAGAACCCGTCTTTATAGTGCAAGAGAAAATAGACTATTTTTAAGTGACAACGATGACAATACCATTAAAAGCTTTGTCTGATCAAGTATGAATTAGATATTCATGTTTTTGTTTATTCAAACTGTTTATTTCTTTTGTGGATTTTCTGCAAAAGTGACTTGAGCACTGTTTTCTGAAGAAACTGTGGAGAAATTAAACACTTTTTAATCAGAAAAAGGAATTATCTTCCGGCATTTTTTTTATGAGATTATCATGAATGTTGAAATATCAGTATTATCTTTATCGCTTATCCCATCAGCAATTAACAATTGCATTATCAGTTTTACAATTTTATTTGAAAATCAATATATATTGTCGATTTTTATTTATCCATTAGATAAATCATTTCATTGTTATTTGCTGAAAAATCTGAACCCACTTAAAAAATTACCAAGCATGAAAGAAACTAATTTTAAAATGTTCAATTTTGAACGGTTAAAATGTTAATTGATAAAAACATCTCAACGCATTTGAAAATCTTAAATCTTCATAAATATATACTTCTTCAAGTACAGGGTATCCCACAAAGGATGAGACCTCTAAAACCATGAAGATCTAAAAGAATTTTTTTTCTTTCCAATTGAAGATTTCGCCATATATTGACGCAATAAACTGTGGTTTAAGGTTTAATCATGGTGTTTGCATTACTTGCAGAGTTAAAATATAATTGTAAGGATATAGTTTAATGTATTGTAAATGTTGCGCGGTCAACTGCACTGCACATTGGTAATCGTCTTCGTATTTCCTTGAATTTGTTACAAAGGTATACCCCAAGGTATAAACTACCTGGAAAGTATAAGGTATACCCTAAGGTATAAACAACCTGGAAAGTATAAGGTATACCCCAAGGTAGGTATAAACTACCTGGAAAGTATAAGGTATGCCCCAGGGTGGGTAGAAGAGTGGAGGAACAGAAATCATGGTGCTCAGTGTCCAAACTGTTATCAGCATTAAACAACAGATGTTAGGAGTCCTATTAAATAATCATGCATGAAAAGTGATTAATAAAAGTGCATTTATAATTGCATTGTCACCCAAAATGGATGAGAGTTTGGAGACATCTCACCCACTTTTTCAGTTTTTTTGACTCCCTGCACCCTCTGTTTAAATCTTAAGCTTAAAACAGTCCCTTTAAAACACAAGCTTAAAACAGTCCTTTTAAACCACAAGCTTAAAACAGTTCCTTTAAACCATAAGCTTGAATCAGTTCCTTTAAACCACAAGCTCAAAACAGTTACTTTAACCATAAGCTTAAAGCTTTCTCTTTAAACCATAAGCTTAAAGCAGTCCCTTTAAACCACAAGGTTAAAGCAGTCCCTTTAAACCACAAGCTTAAAACAGTTCCTTTAAACCATAAGGTTAAAGCAGTCCCTTTAAACCACAAGCTTAAAACAGTCTCTTTAAACTATAAGCTTAAACCAGTCCCTTTGTACCACAAGCTTAAAGCAGTTCCTTAAAAACATAAGCTTAAACCAGTCCCTTTAAACCACAAGCTTAAAGCAGTTCCTTAAAAACATAAGCTTAAAACAGTCCCTTTAAACCACAAGCTTAAAGCAGTTTCTTTAAACCACAAGCTTAAAACAATTCCTTTAAACCACAAGCTCAAAACAGTAACTTTAACCATAAGCCCAAAGCAGTCTCTTTAAACCATAAGCTTAAAGCAGTCCCTTAAAACCACAAGGTTAAAGCAGTCTCTTTAAACCACAAGTTTAAAACAGTTCCTTTAAACCACAAGCTTAAAAAGGGTCCCTTTAAACCACAAGTTTAAAACAGTCTCTTTAAACCACAAGCTTAAAACAGTTCCTTTGAACCACAAGCTTAAAAAAGTCCCTTTAAACCACAAGGTAAAAGCAGTCTCTTTAAACCATAAGCTTAAAACAGTCCCTTTAAACCAAAAGCTTAAAACAGTCCCTTTAAACCACAAGTTTAAAACAGTCTCTTTAAACCACAAGCTTAAAACAGTTCCTTTAAAACATAAGCTTAAAACAGTCTCTTTAAACCACAAGCTTAAAACAGTCCCTTTAAACCACAAGTTTAAAACAGTCTCTTTAAACCACAAGCTTAAAACAGTTCCTTTAAAACACAAGGTTAAAGCAGTATCTTTAAACCATAAGCTTAAAGCAATCCCCTTAAACCACAAGCTTAAAACAGTCCCTTCAAAACACAAGCTTTTTTAAAATCTAGATATTTATTTACGTATCATGGTTATTATATTTAACAGAGATATCAACATATATAAATTACAATTGGATTACGAAAGTAATGTGTACATACTTTTAAGTTAGATAATCATACTGATACATTTTCATTTTTTTCAAAAAATTTAGAAACTTGGATTTGTCTTGTAAGACGAACAATTTGGTTAGCATTGAGAATATGTTGCTTTTAACTAATACTTAATATGTTTTTAAAATTCATCTTCATACTATTGGAGCATTTAAAAGGAGGAAATTGATGAGAGTGCATTAAACAGATTTTATGTAAAAATGGTATAATGTCGAAAAGAGTATTGTGGACAACTACGATTTTACTGATGGTGAGCATTGGAGGTTCGTCATCAGTATTACACTAATTGAATTACATCGTCTTGTTGCTAAATAGCAGACGTAATTTTGAAAAACAGAATATTTTGGGTACATACTGGCTAGGAACTTTGATGGTTCCTTCCTGCACGTTTTTCCTTTTATGTAGTTAATATTCTACACTGCCTAAGTGGCCAAAGCTCGTTATAGGAACATTAATTTCAATTTGTGCAAGGACGCATTAAATTTAAGCAATAGACAACATGTAAAACTTAAGTTCTACGGTACTGACTAGAAAAGTGGAAAGGGATTCATATTTAACCCTTTCATTTTTGTAATAAATCTCAAGGTGTAGTCAGGTATGATGCACGGTAATATCGTGCATGGTTTTAGTCTCATCTTCTTCGTGATTTTAGGCGATGAGGTTTGAAGGTTCAGGAGACGTTTCTGCTTCCACAGACTGAATCAGTAAAAAACAAGCATTAGTTTATTGTGAGAGAAGATTTAAGGATTGGGAAAGGCTTCAAATTATAAACAGGAGTCCTCATAATTTTACGGATTGATAAGGATTTAATTAGTAAGACGTTCAAAATATAGATACTCGGCTGTACTGGTAGGTTTTATTCCTGCATACTTTAATTAACCTCACGGACACAGAACATCCCCTTTCTGTACAAGTTGGTATTATATGCTTGAAATAGCAAAGTTTTATGTCCGAGATGTTAAATTAAAAGTTAGCGGGTGAGGAGACACTATTATAACCTTAGCTATCATTCTCAACGTTTAACTTTTGTTAACAGTATGTTATAAGAAGTTCGTTTAAGTAAAGAGGTATGACGTGAAGGTTTTTTTTTAAAATTAGACAATTGGTTTTGCATGCTCAGGGTTTATAATTTTATTCAGAAAAATGATTTAATACCGTGTACATTAGGTTTCGACCTTAACATTCCAAATAGTTCCATGTTCACGCTCGTGTTCTCTGTGTATAGAAGGTTAAAAACTCATTGGTAAAGAAAGAGATCTGCCACTCATCACGGGACTTATGGAAATATATTTTTTACCGTTATTGTGTACTCGGTGCTGAGTCTGTTAAGTCTCTCAGGTGCCCGCTCATTCGTCATCCCGGTTTCCGCTTAACTAGATAAAGAGAGGTCTATGATGGAGGAGGAAATAATATAATTCAAGGATCTCGTATATTTAGTTTTGTTTGTAGGGTTTGAGTTAAGACGCTAAACTATTAGGTGAGGACTTTGATTTTCGCGAAACTAATTTCATGGCTTTTTTACAACTGAAGAATTATATTTTAGATTAGAAGATTAAACTTAGACTGTTAACATAACCTTCTTTAGATTGAAATTTTAATTGAAAAGTTTTAAACGGCGTGTACATTAGTTCAACCTTTACAGTCCAAAAACGGTCCGTGTGCTCACTTCAGCTCTCTGTATGAAAAGATGGTTTAGGGCTTATTAGTAGTGAAGTCGATCCAGTATTCACAGGGACCTTTGGAATTATAATTTTTTACCGTTATTCTTTGCCGAGGATTACAGCTTTGAGATTTCCCAGATCCTCTGGGGTCTCCTAGATCCTCAGGCGTTCAGGTCAAGGTGGTTTCTCGTTTAACGTAG